AGCATCCCATTGTGTGGACAGACCGCAGTTTGCTTGTTCAGTCACCTCCTGGGTTGTTTCCAGTTCTGGCTGCTGCTGTAAATACTGGTGCATAGGTTTTTGTGTAAACATTAGCACTCATCTTTCTTGGCTAAATTCCTAGAGGTTGCATTTCTGGGCAGTACGGGAGCGGTGGTGCTTAACTTCTAAAGGAACTGCCAGCCCTTGCATTGCGGCTGCAGCGCTTGCATTCCTACCAGCACCGTGTGAAAGCTCCGGCTGCTTCCAGCCTTGTCTGCACTTGGTACTGTCTCCAAAAAAAGCTCAGCCATTCCCACAAGCTTGTAGCAGCATCCCGTCGTTTTAATTTGCACTTCCCAGCTCAGTTGCCACTAAGACGTTCAGCCTGACTTCACGTTTTTATTTGCCGTCCGTTTATCTTCTTCGGTCAAGGGTCCAGATCTTCCAGCCATTTCTTCGTCGGGTCGTTTGTTCTCCTGTCGTCGAGTGCTGAGAGTTCTTTGTGTGTCCCGAGCACAAGTCACCTCTCAGATGTTTCTCCCGTTTTTGTGGATTATGTTTTCGTTCTGTCTCTTTTTTAATTTGAAATACAGTTGGCTTACAGTATGAGCTTCTGGGGCACAGCGCAGTGCTTCGGGTACACACATGCACGTACGTTCTTTTCCACACTCTTTTTCATTATAGGTTATTACAAGGGATTGAATTTAGCTCCCTGCGCTGTACAGAGGTCCTTGTTGTTTATCTGTGTTATACATAGTGGTGTGTATCTGCTAATCCCGAACTCCCAGCTTGCTCCCCAACCCCCGTCCCCGCTGGTAACCGTAAGTTTGCTTTCTTCCTGTGCGTCTGTTTCTGTTTTGTAAATAAGTTCGTTTGTGTCAGGCTTTTAAGATTCCACATACAAGTGACAGCATAGGGTCTTTTTCTTTCTCTTTCTGACTTACTTCACTTAGAATGAGGATCTCCAGGACCATTCATTTGTTCTCCCTTTTACCCCCAAGGTCAACCTGAAGGTGCCCCAGAGCGGCCTGACCTGACAGGCAGTGAAGTCTCTCAGCAAAACTGCCCAAAACTGCCCTCCCCGCAGGACTGGGAGCTGGGAGCCGGCTTCCTTGCTCTGCTCTCCCAGCCCTGCCCTGGGCGGCTCCAGCTGCGCAGTGCGTGGGGGGGGCGGTGGGGACGCAGCACCTGCGTCAGGGGACTGGCGACTGCGTGCGCAGGGTCCT